ATGAGACTCACTAGGGTCGAATGAGACTCACTAGGGTCGAATGAGACTCACTAGGGTCGAATGAGACTCACTAGGGTCGATTAAAATTTACTAGGGTCAAGAAAGTATTTAAAAATCTACAATTTCTCACTAAAAGTGCTAGCTATAAAAACTCATCATTGTATAACCCAAATTCAGTAACAAAATCCAAACAAATCTGTTCAATTTCAAGAATCAAAATCCTCCAACAACAACAAACCAAATAAAATAATTTATAGCATTCATTTGAAAATAATTAGGACTTGGCATGAGAAACAGAAAGAAACAATATTTGTAGATAATTTATTGAAAAATTGAATAACACGAAACAAATCAAAGCTTATAAATTTCAATCATATGAATGACTACTTTCGTTTCCCCAACAAAGATATGAAAAAATAATCAAAACTGCACGAGGAAATGAGCAGCAATTAATCAATAACTGAAAAAAATCGTGATTAATGATAATTGATAAGTGATTACATGGCAGCTATTGATCAATTAAGTAAAATTTACATAATTTATTGACGTCCAATTTGTCAAAAAGTATTTTTTTCTGCTTTGTTCAATTTGATAATTTATAGGCGCACTTGAGTCACTGTCATAATTCACTATTACGTGTGTACTTAATGTTATATGAATTCATTAGCTATTAGATGATTGTGAATATTTGTTGGGAATGTATTTGTGATTAATTGGGATATGGCACTCAAGATATCAACCCAAATAGCACCCCTTTGCTATGCTAATAGTCGAATTATTGAAGCTTAGAGTGCCAAGACTACAGATACACAGAATGAGGACATTCAGCAACATTGAAGTTCATGCAAGCTCTTGCTTTGAAAAAATGGACCAAAGCTATAGGAACTGATCCTCAAATCTCGGGAAACGGGATGTCTAATGACAATGGGGGGGCTTCGAGGGTCTAAATGAGTTTAAGATGATCCAAAACAGGCTCGTGAAAGTCTTATAAGTTTGAATAGGGTTTATAGCAGTTCGATAGCATCTCAGAAAGGTTTGATAAGGTCTGAGAGGGATTCGACTCAACCCCTCCCCCAATTGTGTTGCTCATCATGGCATACCCCTTCCCCTCCCAAAAAAAAAGCCTCAAAATGCAACAATAAGCACCAAAAAAGAAACTACATTCAATTAAATCACAGCAGCGTCATTGAAACTTCAATTGTTTTTTGTGAGTTTGCCTGCCCATTAAATCCCATTTGAACAATCAATCATTTGTAAATTTATTGCTCCGTCGTAGTATTTTTATTGCCATTTTTTTGTTTCATGAAAATTTGCATGTCACTTAATTTATTTTTCGCTCATTGTTGAGCTTCAGATTGATTAATAAATTATGGCAATAAAAAGTCATGCAAAAAAAAAAAGGCTAGCAAGCGGCAAGATCATTTTGTTGTACATGTCGATCGTTAGCAGTTGATGTTGTTATGGCAATTTATCTACTAATCACATTCCCAACACCAACAATAAATATTGTTCATTATTATACATTTTTTTTCTGTTATTCATAGTGCGGAGATAAATGTTGTGCCTTAAGTCTCTCAAATCACTTAATTGACTTTTAATGCAATACTTTAAGTGCACAGATTGTTACAAACAAGGATGATGAAGCTTTACAGCTTGTTTGATGATTATTGACTCTCACTCATTGCATTTCAAATGTCGCCAATGTTAAGTGCTTTAAGTGATGTCTTCTCATTTATTTTTGTTTAGCTCATTGTTGATTAGAAATGAATATGTTTTTGAGTTAATGATGATGTAGATGAATTGATGTTAAGTTGATGGACTTATGGTTCAAGGAGATTGTTGTCGTGAATTACTGGTTTTGAATGACTTTATTATTGGATTTGCTGTTGAGTTGAGTTTTGAGATTTGAGTTTTTGTTTGAGATTTGTCGAGATTTTGATGAATGAAGCATTCAGTTCTATTCTTGACTGAGTTGGAGGTAGCTTGTCCGTCTCCTTGAGTTATTTCTAAGGTTTGAGCCGAATAAATCTATCCTAGAGTTAATAATTGATGTAATGTGCCTTGGGCAGCTCTTTAAACCGGCTTATGAGGCTACTTAAACCGAGATATTCATGAAGCAAAGGATTTACTGCAGAATAAAGTCCGTGGATCTTTAAAATCTAGATTTCGAGTCATTACTCTATAAAACCTAATCACTTTAACTGTTTGACTTGCATTCAGTAAATTTGACAGCTTTAAAAGCATGTGTCTGTTGACTACGCAAAGAAATCATGCAAATATCCAGTAAAATACTTTCAAAGTCCTCAAATAATCCACAACAAATCCACATGCATCCTCAAAAGATCAAACGATCATTTAACATGCAAAACTCATCATACAAACTTGTTAATCTCCTCGATTACTTAAAACTAATTGCTTAATTCCTTTAAAAAACACTCGTGATGAAAATATCAATTAAGTTTTAAAGTTTCAATTAAGCCAAGATAATTAGTCGGCAAAATTGCACAAAATTACAAGACACTACACTCAATATACATGATAATTATTAAGGTATCGACATCTATTCACCCCGAAGCCTTTCATTATGCATTCTAAAATGTTTCTTCCAAAAATTAAAAACAACTCATCCCTTTTTATATCTACAGGATGGAAATTGTGGTTTTCGTGCCTTAATAACATTCATGGAAAAAACGTCTACAACAACAAGCAAAACGATGATAATTATTTGTCATAAAATGTATGCTTTATCTGCGGTTTTTATCGTTCAAGTTAACAAACAACACACTCGGTTGATGTAGAATTAATAATATTGGAATAAAAACATAAGTTCTTCTGTTCATTTCTTTAAAGGAATCTCTCACATTAATGATGATTTCTTTTCATTCATCCAATCGCTTTAGCTATCATGTGGTAATTAGATGTAGCTTGTAGTCATGTGTTTTTCTTATGTTGAGGTTTTTCTGAGAAAATGTGGTTTGAAATGGATGTTGTTTTGAGGCTGACTAAGAGGTTATGCATTATATGTCCAGCAGCTAACCTTAAAACTCTATAGATTTTAGGTACTGGATTCTCTCGAGTTGTCAAACCTCACTTTGCCTAATTCTTACTTTAATATTGTAGTTGATGGTGAGATTCGAACTTAAAAATTCGAATTAAATAACAACTTAGCAGCAAGCGATAACAAAGCTTTTAAAACATTCTAGCTTAATCTTAGCAAAAAGCAGAGCTCTTAATCAACTTAATTTGAGTAGATTTGCCGTCAACTCAAATAAAAATTGTGTTAATTCAGCTTCAACTACTTTTAAAGAAGAGTTGAAGTAACTCGAAGTCGAGGTCGACTACTTACTTAATTACTTACTTACTCACTTGCTTGCTTCCTTGACTGGCGCGCACGTGGGCCCATTGACGCATTCAGAGATAATCTAAAGACAGTCCTATCCTTCGAGAGCTGCTGCCAGTTAGGGATATTAAGAACTCTAGTGCCCTTATCAACACTACAATCTAGGTATTCTTTAGTCTTCCTCTAGATCTCTTCTCATCCAACAAGTCTGCAACAGTTACTCTAAGTACTGGAGCATCTTGTGTACGTCTAAAGACATGTCCAGCCCATCTCAAGTGATTTACACGGAGATCAAATTGTAGTCAGTTCCATTGCTTATGAAAGGATCTGAGGTGTGTTTCTAATGTAGAAGATTTAAAGAAAAAAAAATAGCTATTCAGATCAATTATGATCCAGAAGTTTAACCGAGTGAGAATGTGCCAGATCTACAGTTCACAGTAAAGCTATCCATCGGTTTTGGCCGATTTCAGCTCTAAAAAGGCGGGACAGACCAAATTTCAAGCATTTTCGAAGAAAAAAGGTTCAAAAAGTGGGAATTGAGCAGGACATTTAGGATTTAAAGCGAGACTGGCAGCTCAAAACTACGCTATTGAACAGCCTTTTCATAGTGAGATCCGAACCACTCATTAGATGAGGTAACTGTCTGGAGCCTACAAAGGAAGCTGTGAGCTTCATTTCCATTATGGTTTGAAAAAGAACAATTACTGAGTATTGAACTCAAAATCACTGTCTACATGTAGCCATCAAATCATTGATTCAAAACTCGAACTTACAAATCCTCTTTTCCAAATGCGCTCCTAAACAGTAGTTAAATATGTCTTCATAGTTACTTTCACGCCAGTTACTTCTTCTCATCTCCATGCATTTCCCTCACACTTTTTTTTAATATCTTCAAAACGATTTAAATGTTAAACCGCAATAATATGCAACCATACAAAGTATCATCAAACGAGTGAATGAAAAAAAAAAGGGCAACGATAATGAAAAGTATATATTTATGATTGAGGTAAAAGTTGCCGCACGATTGGTCGATTAAATTATTTTCTTTTCTATCTTCACTTGAACAAAACAGCATTTGAATTGTTAATGTATGTATGTTTTTTTTTTTGTTTCGTCTTCAAAACTTATGCTTTATAAAAATAAATAACTATAAAAAGAGTACGAACGATGAAAGAAAGAGAGTAGAAAATTAAAACGAAAGACGTAAAAAGAAGGAATGAAAAAAACAAACAGAAAAGAAATTGCCATTTTATGTTTACTTTACACAACAACATCAACTGACTTCCCTATAAGGGGGAATTAAATGTAGACTTATTTGTTTATTTGTATGCGGGAATTTTGTCTGTGACTGTATACGAAGCACACAGCAGTGAATAATGAAAATTTGTGAAAGGAAATAAAAGACGCGCTGTTGAGAGCCATTGTGAATGCCAGGAAATGATGTCAAATGTATCATTATTGAGTGTGTGGTCACTCTTTTTTTTTTTTATGGCGCTCAACAAAACTGAATTGTTGGCTTTTATAAATGCATTCAATTCGTAATTGACTTTTGATGCCCTTTTTTCACATTTAATTGAAGTGATTGGCTTTTCTTTCACTCTTATTCAGTTTTGTACGAAACATGCTCATTAACTCTTATTCTTTTGTTTCTTCTTTACAGAACGAGTTAATTTATTTGCTGCACAACCGCAACCAAAGAAAAAGCGAAAATCGCGAACAGCATTCACAAATCATCAGATTTTTGAGCTTGAAAAGCGATTTTTGTATCAAAAGTATCTCTCACCTGCTGATCGTGATGAAATTGCTGGTGGACTGGGACTTTCGAATGCTCAGGTAGGTTATTGATGATGTTTTGACACTTTTTTGTGATTTTATGATGATTCTTGATCAACACAAGTTGAAATGTTGTCTAGCAGATGCAACTTGATTGTTCGCTGGGCTGACAACATCTCAACGTATGCTGATCGGGATTATGTGACTGAGGATGTTGAATATTGAAGGATTGACTTTAAACTGAGTGCTTAGTACACTCCAAGACCCCCTTGTGCATAGCTTAAAAGTATTTTAGAGGTTTATATCACTAGGTAAACAACCTAGTGTATAGTCAAGTAGGGCCATATGTAGGCTGCATCCCTATTCAGTCATATACATACACGAGCTCAAGCTATAAACTTGCTGAGTTATATACTAAGCTATGCCATCAAGATAGTGCTAAGACAACCCTGAAGTATTCTAAACAATCAACTCCACATTTCCGACGGGATTCGACCCTAATCCTCCTAACCATTCAATACAAATATCCATAATTACATAACACACACGCAATTAAATTCCCAATTGAAATGCACACAAAACAAATCAAACGAATTATCGCACAAGACGATTTTAATTCTTCTTCATACTTCTTGCCTTGCCTTCCATTTCATCCATTGTGGCATGAAAATGGTTAAAAACTTCTTCACGAAGTGTATTTCGGCAAAACTTGAAACGGATAAGAATGCAACAATTGTCGAAATAATCGCAGAAATTGCAAATTTGCACTTTTAACTAATGCCTAAACTAGATCTTCAAGTCTTGATTGTAATTTCAACAAATTACTAACAATTACGTTTAAAAAAGCATTTCAAAATAGCGATAAATTGTTGGTGTGTGTTTGAGTATTTTGAATAAATAATGAGTTAACGATACCTTAAGAAGTTGGTGTGGTTTTGTTGGGATGTTTGTAGAATGAGCGCTGTTCGGAAGATGATGTCTCATCTGGGGCTGCTTTTGGGGCTCTCCTAGATTGTGCAACTCTAGTCAATTTTCATTTACACCAGTGATGTCCAACCTATGTACCATGGCACATGATTTCAATCATGGCTTACAATCAAGGTGTGCCGTGGTACAATAAAGGTTGATTTACACAACAGATTATACTCAATCAAAGCCTTAAACACTGGCTCTAGGTCCCACAGCACACAGGTTGATCATCACTGACACCTTAAAGCTTATCATGTGCTCAATAAACAATGAGCACTAATTGAACTACACTATAATGTCACTAAAGACACCTCAAGTACCAAATTCATTAAATATCCAACATACCGAAGCAGACAGTCCAAAATGCATATCCTCACTTCCATTAATCATCTCAACATCCAAAATTTATCAATTTTTGTTTTTTTTAAATGCACAAGCACAAGTTTAAGTCATTTAATCGTCGATTATCGTCAAGGTGCATGCAGATGTTATGAATATATTTACTTCCATACTAACTTCCTCTCTTTTATTCTTTCTCATTTTTTTTCATCATGAAGGTCATAACGTGGTTCCAAAACAGAAGGGCGAAATTAAAGCGTGACATGGAGGAACTGAAAAAAGACGTTGAAAGTGTGAAGATTCTGACGACGCAAAAGAGCTTCCTTGAGAATGTCAACGATATGAATTTGCTGAAATCTAAGGCTACCAATTCGCATAATCATCATCATGATGGGAATGTGGATAAGTATAGGAGTTTGGGCGAGACTGAAGTCAATCATTAATGCAATTTGATAATCGAGGAAGTTTTTAGGTTTTAGATGAAATTTTTTTGGATTGATAAAATTATGTTTCATGAATCTAAGCTACACATTAGAACTTAGGGGAGCTCGAAGTCGAGGCGAGTTGACACGAGTCAAGTTGAGTCAAGTCGAGTCAAGTTGCATCAAGCCGAGTCAAGTCGAGTCAAGTTGAGTCAAGTTGATTCAAGTCGAATCAAGTTGAGTCAAGTTGAGTCAAGTCAAATCAAGTCAAGTTAACTCGAGTCAAACCAATTTTTCAAAGTCAACTCCGAGCTTACTCGAGTCAAGTTGAATCAAGTAAAGTCAAGTTGAGTCAAGTCGAGTCAAGTTGCATCAAGCCGAGTCAAGTTGATTCAAGTCGCGTCAAGTCGAATCTAGTTGAGTCAAGTCGATTCAAGTTGAGTCAAGTCGAGTCAAGTTGAATCAAGTTGAGTAAAGTCGAGTCAAGTTGAATCAAGCTGAGTCAAGTTGATTCAAGTCGAATCAAGTTGAGTCAAGTCAAATCAAGTCAAGTTAACTCGAGTCAAACCAATTTTTCAAAGTCAACTCCAAGCTTACTCAAGTCAAGTTGAATCAAGTAATGTCAAGTTGAGTCAAGTCGAGTGAAGTCAAGTTAACTCGAGTTGAGCCGATTTTTTCCGAGTCAACTCCGAGCTAAAAAAATTAAGACTCAAATTGAAAAAATTGACTCGACTTTGAGTCGATTCGAGTCAACTTGACTCAATTTGAACCCTATAAACTTCAAGCTTTGGAACTTGGTCATGGTTTTTTTGTAGCTTTCTTAATAATAGTTCAAGATATAAATTAAAGGCAACTTCTATCTCCATATTTCCGCTATTTTCTAAGCAATGTGTTCATCATGAAACATTAAAAAGTGAATTATACAACAACAAAAATGTCCATAAATATGCTGTAAATATGAAAATCTAATTTCAACAAAATGAAAGAAGTTAAAATGTTTAAAAACAAATTACCATAAATTAAGAAAATTAAAAAAATTCTTTAATCGGCTGTAAAATAAAAAGAAATATGAAAAACCTGTAATCTTAAGGCAAATTAAAGTAAATAAATTAAAAAAAGAAGAAAGATATTTAAAAGAAGAAAATGGAAATAAAAGCTTCTTTATTTGCAATAATAATTGTTATTTTATTCAATTTATTATTTCCTCAATTTTCTAAAACACCTTTTTTTTCCATCCATAAAAAAGAATAGCATCAAGAACTGGAATTTCCTACCCATCTAAAATCCCATTATTATTATTTATTTATGTATCATTATGCTGTGCATGTGAGTGTTAAAAAGAACTTAATGCCTGTAAAATTAAATCAATGTAATGACATCCTATAAAGTTTAAATTTTCTCACGTCACCGAGTCACTTTACAAATATGGAAGATGAGATGCCGATACCGAAAAAGGAATGGAAAAGAAACATAAAAGGAGGGGAAAGTGTCATAACATTAAAAATAATTAAAGGTTGAATGTGCTGTAATTGAAAAAAATAAGGCAGAACAATAAAATTTCGTAGAAGTTGAGAATGTAATTTTTTAATAGATTTCAAAGTGCTTCCTGTCTTTCTTTAGAAAATTTCTTCATTTGTAGGCTCAAGTACTTAGGTTGATGGAGTCGACTTTGACGGTAATTTGAAGTGATTTTAATTTTTTTTTTGTTCCTCTGTCATTTGAAAAGAATTATTTAATTTACAAGCATTAGATTGAAAGTTTGAAAGGGGTAATTATGGTATCAATTATATGAGAGACTGAATGGTTAGGTGTGAATGATATTTAATTTTGGAACTTCATTAAAGAATAAGTTTTTTGTAAACTTACAATAATAACTGTCAGCATTGTCTCGGAGGAAACATCGATTGTCATAGTAGAGTCAATAGTCAATCAAAAAAGATTCAGTTCAATTTTATAAAATTTAATTGATATGACCCCCCCCCCCCCCCCCCTCTCAATTTTGAAAAATTTCTTCTCATTCACACAATTTTGTCTAAAATCTTATTTTTAAAAAATTCATACTCTGCATCAAGTACACTGTTCAATACCTAGCAGGGGCGTATCCAGAATTTTTTTTATGGGTGGGGGGGTTGTGAAATTAGAGGTGGTAGGATTTGGATTTTTTTCTCAAAAAACCTAAGCTTATTGAAAAAAAAATCAAAATTTATACCCCCCTCCCCCACCACCCTAGGAACACCCCTGATACCTAGTTCGACCCCCCCCCCCCCTCACTACTCTCCTTCAAACAACCGACCTTGATAATGACCAAAAAATATTGTTGTAAGTTGAATCCATTTATAACTTTGTGAAATGTTCAAGTTAAAAGAATCGAGAATCTAACTCACAATCTTATGGTAGGTTGGTAGGTTGGTCTAATAAGCTACCATTTCCTCCACTCATAATAAATTATACTCTATAGAGAATTGGCAACAATGTCAATATAAAGCAACTTTATTCTGGGAAACAACAACTAATGAAAATTTACATATAAGGAGGCCATCTGCTTAGTTTTTAGAGGACAGTCCTTTATTTTATTTCTTGTTTCAAAAATAAAATAGTTTTATTTTCTTCTAATTTCATACATAAAATGAATAAAATTGGGTGACACGTGGGATGTCCTCTATTTTACTTTCAGGTCCTCTATTTTTTTCAAAAAATATCTGATCGCCCTTCATATAGGAAATATACCTCTAAATGCTTCATAAAATCTCAAAACCTGTAATGTCCTATTCATGATAAACTGTAAATATCCTCTTGACTAGAATTTACTAAATTCAAATTTTCCTCATTAAACAAACTTAAAAGATCTCCAAAATCTCTCCAAAACTATTCATAAATTCTCCACATCAACCAAGACAATTGACTTGCGGTTACCAAACAAATTACAGCCAAAATCTGCAATTCCTCTTCAAATTTCCATTCTGCATCACCAAAAGAAATCAAATTTCCTCCAAAAAAATAAACAACACACCAAATCAGCATCATAACCTAAAATATCCACCAACTAAGTTTACACATTAATTTCATATTCATTTCATCTACATACACTGTGCCTATATGTCGGCATTTTTCTTTTGATCATCCATTCTTTATTAAATTTTTTTCTTTCTTCATCTCTCTCTTGCTCACTTTTCTTCCTTTCTTTCTTACTCTCATCCGAGCGGCCTCTTTCATGCATAACGTATTAGTTTGAACAATGAGATTCAATCTGTTTTTAATTTGCTTTTGTATTATTATCGCGCAGTCAGCAGAGTTCTCGATTTTTTCGCTATTAAGTAAGTGAGTAAGTCAGTGCGCGCCAAAGAAAAGGTTTTTGATGGAAAGTTGAATTCTTTTTGAGAATTTTAGAGCGCATTTTTGAGGGATTATTTCGATTATAGAACAGATTCTTGTGGTTGGGAGCTGGAGGAGTGTTCCTTAGTGTCTCGTTCAATTTACAGCAAAAACAAAAATTTGCTAGCTTTAGAGTTTTTGCTTTTAAAGTCCCTCAACGTTAGCAGTTGATATTTACAATCAAGTCGACCTGAACTTAATGATGGAAATCCACAGGGTATTTTCAATTTCACCATTAGAGGCCACTGGTTCAATCCATCAGCTGTGTAATCAACGATGCAAATATGCAAAGCATTAAAAAGAATGGAGCCAGCTTTCGAGGTACTCAGAATACAACAATAGGCCCCATTGCTTCTTATCCAAGGAAGCAAAGTAAAGTGCTAGTCTAAATGCTTCCAAGCTAAGTTATCCTTTGTTGCCCTAACGTCTTTGAGTAGGTCTTACCTTATTGATAGCTATTAAGCTCCAGAAAATGAACTTCGGCTATTGTTTCTCTTGTCTTATCACGTATTATCTTGTCTTCCCTTGCTAAGAACAATACAATTCATGTATTGTTCTTTTTTGAAAAATGACCGCCATAAGTGAACGACCCCTAAGGGGCTGTTCACTTATTACGTAACGCGAAAAATGACTTTTTAGACCCCCCCCCCCTCGTAACAAAATTTGTATTAAAAAAAAATTTCCTTGTTTGAACCGTAACAAAATCTTAGACCCCCCTCCCCCCCTAAAAGCGTTACGTAATAAGTGAATGGCTTTTAAAGTCATACGAATTTAAATAAATTTTCCCCAAATAAATGACAAACTGTGTCCAAAATCCCTTCCATAATCGCACGAATCCCCGCTAAACCTTTTCTATTTCATCTCTATAATGCTCACTAAACAATAGAATATCGCATTTCTCTCTATTATTGTACATCGATCTATACTAATAATTACAAATGAGAATTTATTGATTTAAAATTAATTAGACCTGGCAGATCAGTTTGAATTGGAAATAAAGCAACAATGCCCGTGAAGAAGGAGAAATGAGAAAGAAAAGAAAATTGCGATAAATGAAGCGCCATTGATTTTTGTGCTTCATTCTTCTTTTTTTGCACTGCTTTATGCTGCCTTTTTTTTTTGTTTGGTAAGAAATATGAAAAAAAATTATAATTAATATAAGTGCATTATCTTACAAAATATTCTCATCTTGACATCCAGAGGGCTATTTATAATTTGTTTTTTGTTTTGTTGTGACCGCCGGCAACTGCAACTTGCATTCAATCCATTTCTTTAAAATAAAAATTATTCTCTGATTAATCTCATTAGTATCGCACTAAATCACTTAAATATACTTAAGCGTTATTAAACAACAAGGCCATCAACTTGCAAAAATATGATGAGTCATTAAGATAAAAGGAATGAATATAATAATAATATTTTTTTAGCGTGAGATATATTTAATTTGTCGGCAAATAAAAGTTTTTTTTTTCGGCCTTTTTGATTTTTTGCCGCACATCTCCTTGTGCCTTTCTCAGTTTGAGAAATAAAGACTGAGAGAGTGTGAGGAGGGAAAGAAATTATAAATAAGAAGAAGATTGAAAGAAAATGATTTTTTTTGAAAGGATTTTTTAAGCATGTCTCGATATTAATTAATATGAATGAGGTTGTGTCTGTGAATTAATAATTCTCATGAATCATAAATAGTCAATTGACCGAGATTTTCTAGGAAAGTCTGGGGGATTAAAATTAATATTTACAAAAATGTTTGATCAGTTACATTGTTTAATGAAGACAGCAGTGTGAAGGCTGGGCCCTTCACACATTATCATTATCATTCTGCCAAAATAAGAAACTTAACTTTCATACAAAAAGACACGTTTCGTTAGCTATTCAATCATATTCCATCTTTTATATGTAAGGAAGCAAGTTCGAATCCTTTCAACCACGACTGGCCTACATCAATTATAGTAACTAGTTCAAATGTGTATCTACTCTATGCAAATATAAATTAACTAGCTTTATAAAATGCGTGAGAAAACTTAATACAAGTTCATTCTTAATCAAGTATCTATGACAGTGATGGTCAACCCGTGTGCCTCGAAACACTAATGTGCCGTAGAAGAATTGGGATATCTCTCGAACCATATGCTGTGTGCGGTTTTAGTCATGGCTTATCATCATGTGTGCAGTAACACAATAAAGGTTGACCACCACTGATCTATGATATTACATTATGTGCTGTGCACACACTACAATAAACCTCCCAGATAAGTATTATCATTTCATAGCTCCACATGATATATTACACATGATCATATCACTTAGTAATAATGATTATTATATCCTTTTTATTTCTTATTTTACATCATCGTGCGTTGAGATGTAATTTTAATGTCTTCATTATCATGATTATGTTGATTGGATGTACTACAATATTTTAACGATTAAATTATGCTTTATAAGTATGATGGAGTAAGTCGTTAAAATATCTCATTTTTGCTAATCGGAGAAAGGCTTAATAATGAAAGTTGTGTCGTGAGTTGGGAATTGTCTGCATGATCTGATACCTAAAGCTTTAAATGGGGGTCCTCAAATGTCAGCAATATCAATTTTATAGATCATAATCAACCCAACATCCCTGAATAATATTCACAATTAAATTCATAAATGAACTGTATCCAATTGCTGACTTAACTACCTTATTAAAATATGAATCAACTTTTGTGACTGTAAATCGTCTATAATAATGATATGAATCACCATTGAATATATTTCCAGAAAGATCAACTGCATTA